GTATTGAAACATATAACAATATTTAAAGGGTTTATGGAATAAAAGAAGATGGAGTCTATGAGTGAATGAAAAAATAGTTTTTTTTTTTTAAGTACGCTTTAATAAATAAATGGACAATTACGCTTGGGCATATTTTATGCATAATCTGTAATGTATACGTTTTTACAGATCTCTGATGATGAAATTTGCTGATTCCCAGAAGTTTGATTAAATATTTTTATTGTTGTTGTTGTGTCGCTTCAGTTTTTAATTAAATACGCCCTCTTTTGGTGGAATAACGTACCTTCATTTCCACTTCTCCACGAAGTTCTAAACAAAATGATCCAAAGTTATTCAAAACTTCTTTTGTTTGAGGACTTACATGTATCTTCAAGGCTGCAATGAAACCAAATTTTGAATATTACATTCGCAAATAAGAGAATGAATTGTTAAGAATGAAGAAGAAAAGTCAAAAACTGAGCTACAGGATATTTGTTAGGACTTCGGTCGAAACTTGAACCTCACCATAGCTGCATTCGTGTGCTAATTCAAGAATAAACCAGGACGTGAAACTTAAAAAAAAAATATCTGTAGAAATTTAAGCATATATTTGTAAGGTGTTTATAAAGCCTTTAGAGCATCATTTCTCAACCTTTTCGAATCCAGGAACCGGTTCGCTACCCCTCTAAACTATCGCGGACTACTAAAACATAAATATAGCAAAAGGCTATTACGACCTATTTGTAGTTAAGCACAAAGCTACACAATGGGTTATCTGTGCTCTGCCAACCACGGGTATCGAAACCCGGTTTCTAGCGTTGAAGGTCCGTAGACATATCGCTGCGCCACTGGGGGGCACGGCTTACGACTAGTCTGTCAGTTTTTGTTTGTTTTGTTTTTGTGAAATACCACGGATCGGTAAGGTGGTTGTGACGAACCGGTGAATGAGAAATACTGCTTTAGATGCACATATGACATTCTCTTTAGTATGCTAGCCTTATATTATATTTTTAAACACTAATTTACTGTTCCGAGGATGCCTCACACCAACCATGTTCGCCCTTTCAGTCGTGGGGGCGTTATAATATCACGATCAATCCCACTATTCGTTGGTAAAAGAGTAGCCCACGAGTTGGCTTTCCCTCTAAATTAGGGACGGCTAACAAACTTTGAAATTAACAATAGATAAAAAGAGTAACAGTGTTTGCTGTTGTTTTTTTTATACATTGTTTGGACATGAAAGTTCTTAAACACTTTATTCGATGTGAAATAAATAATATCTTAGTATGAGGTCAAAATACTTTTTTTTTAATTTTAAGAAATAAAATTGTGGCAATCTTTGTAGCTCTTCAGTGGTTTACGAACTTTAATATATGAGTCTACCATCAATACATTTCTTAGTTGACATCATAAACAAGTGATATAACAATAATCTATATAAATACAATAGTATTGTCTGTTGTATGTCCATGTAACTTCTTCGGAGGGTGTGGATGTATCTTCACCAAAATTAGTATGGAGGTTCATTAGGTCCATGGGGGGCCCATGCAAATTTTCAGTTTTGCATTCTGAGTTTTGCGGTTTTTTGGGCGTTTTTTACAATTACATATAAGGGAAGCAACTTTTCATGTCCTAAGATAACCTTTCATTAATTATGAATTTATATAACTTCCGTTCAAAGGACGGGTACTCCAGCTAGTAAATAATAACCTAAAAAAAAAACAAGCAATAATGGAGCTGTGCATAAATGCTATTTTAAAGTCACTGGAGTTTTATTTCTTAGACAATTTCGTCAACAATCATATTAATGAATCTAAGTTTCAAATGGACAGCAACTGCCTGTTTTAGAAACCTACAAATGTGGAGGACGACGTTTCGAAAGTCTTCCGCCTTTCGTCTTCAGGTATATTAATTTTGTGGGATTAGAGATTTTATTTTTAAATAAATTTTATCCGAGTTTTGTAGAGAACTTTCTACTTTTTCCCAGATGTATTTGGAAACAGAGTGCAATTAAAAATACATTATTGATTATTTGTTTGCTTTGTTGAATTTTGGCCTACCTGTACCAGCCATCTCAATTTTGAGGCAGCTAGTCAACACCACTCTCCGTCAGCTCGTGGGCTACTCTTTACCAACGAATAGTATGATTGATTGTCACATTTTAACGCTCCCACAGATGAAATGGAGAGCATGTTCAGTGAAGGGATTCAATCCCGAGACCCGCAGATTACGAGTCGAGTGCACTAAGCCATGCCAGGCCCCATACATTTTTGAGCTATTTTTCAATTATTTAAAATCTTAGTAACTTTATAATTCACAAAAAAGAAGGGATGACATTTCTTTTTATTAAAATAATAATAATAAAATAATAAAACTTTTAATAAAACGTCTATCTTTATCTAAAACAAAAGAATTACAAAGCATTTCGATTTATTTTACTGACATTTTATCCAGAGTTATGAGTTTCAGTTTAATTCAGATTGGTGTAAAAAATAACAATAATCAAGAACGGTAATTAACAAAAACAAACTTAACAAAGGGTCTGAGAATAATAGAACACAAAAACGATAACAGTTTTTTTTCAAAACCATCAAGCCCATTGTAATCTATGGCATTATCGTAGTTATATTTTCTAATTACTGAATCAGTTTTGAATGATTAGCAAAATTACTTGTTACAAGTGACGCACAGTCTTGGTTATTTACAAACATCGTGGTGGAGATGATTAGGAAACAATACGGCTGTTATTTAGAATTGTTTAACGATAAATATCAGCAATTAAAGTGTAACGATGATAATTTCAGCCTTTTTATTATAGAACAGTGTACGTAAATTGTTATTAATTATATATATAATGATGTACAGTATAGATTAAGAATTATTTGTGTGTATGTTTTCTTTGTTTGAAGTTGAGCATCTACACAATGGGCTATCTGCGCTCTGTCCATCACGAGTATCGAAACCCGGTTTCTAGCGTTGTAAGTCCGCAGACATACTGATGTGCCACTAGGGGGTTTTGTGTATGAAATTAACTATAAGCACCAGATGCGTTGCTAGGCACTGGCACATGGGGCCTGTGCCCTGATTCTACTAGACAGTGCCCCGAATCCCCAGTTGGTGTCTTAAACAATCAGTATAAAAAAACCATGATAACTACTTACGTAGACCTGTAGATTCCATTCTGGAAGCTGTATTTACCGTGTCTCCAAAAAGGCAGTACCTGGGCATCTTAAGTCCCACTACGCCAGCAGCACATGGCCCTGAAAGGTTACGAGTTGTCTATATGAACAAACGTACTTTTAAAATCTTATTATTACATTTAGCTTCTGTTTGTACTAGGGTTAGAATAAGCCCTTAAGCCATGAATTAGAGATGTATTTCATAATTAAAATATTTTTGGGGGATATTTCCTTACTCCTTCATGTAGAATATAATTTTCCGTAGAAACAAAATTCAAGATTATTATTAAATTTAATGGCATAAATGTACCAAATTCAGACAGTAGAAATCTTGACCACATCTCTACTGTGAAATGGACTGCTTTGAACAAGAAGTGGCGTAACTGCCTTGCCATTTCTCGACTCGACTGTTACACCTCCTCACTTTCGGTCCACTTCTCCTGTCTTACAACAATTTTCTTGGGGAATCAACGCTACTGAAAATCCTCGCAGAGATTCTGCTCATTTTTAGCAAATTTGTGCTTGTCTTCAAGAGAGAAAAAAGACGTAGGAGTGCAGTCTCCTTAAAATAACCTGCAAAACTTTTTAAGGTAAGACATTTAAAATGAATTACAACAGCTTCAAAAAGAAAACACATTATGGACTGAGAATTCACTTTTACTTGTAGACTTTCACCTGATCTGTTGGGCTTTCACCAAGGGCAGAGCTGGATATGCAATTTGCCTCTCAAATAATTAGTCAAATTGCACACCTAATTCATTAATATGAAACAAAGAGCTGATAAAGGTAAATCTGAATTAATATATGTATGCAATCATTTCACAATCTATCTATATTGATTGATTAATTCATTCATTAACATAAAAATAAATGATAGATGTAAGATTAAATAAATAAAAACATCACAAGTACAATCATGATCTAAGCATGTGACCTTTCCAGTATGGCGGACAACATCAATGAGGAATTGAAGCGTATGCCACTTACTGGTGTGTGTAAATTGTTCCCGTGATTAGGTTGTTTGTCTGTTTGTAGTTAAACACAAAGCTACACAATGGGCTATCTGTGCTCTGCCCACCACGGGTATCGAAACTAGGTTTCTAGTGTTGTAAGCCCGGAGACATACCGCTGTGCCACTGGGGGCCCCGTGAGTAGGTTTCTATTGTAATTATTTCACTATTTCTATTTAATTCGTTTGCTATGTGTATCCTTATGAATTCGCATTAATTATATATTAAGTGATACTTTTCAAGTTTTCACAGTGTTTGCGCTATTTTACTGTTATTTGACACGTAAAATACCGTAGTTACTTGAATTTATGTCATTAAGAAAAGATTTCTGTCATGTAGTGTAGTGAGTTTCGTATTTATAAAATACGAACTTATTACTAAGTTTGAAGCCCAAACTTTCCAACGCTGTTCTGCGTGAGATACACACATATCAAGCTTAACACACGCATGCAATTTTCAGAAATCATTTCACACACACATTTCAATTTCAAGTTGAAAAATTAAATTAAATTGAATTATAACAAAAGAAGACATCCGTGGTTCAGTGTGGAATGATGCCACTGAGGCTTATGAAAGTAATGAGTATAACGAGAAGAAAACCATCATCAGGATGGGCAAGGTACAAGATGATGAAATAAACTGCCAGAAACCAACGTCAAGAGATTACCCAGGATGTCGACAATTGCTCATTCCAATCCTGGAAAGAGAGTGTTTTCCATCATAGGCAAGATCAAGCGTGATGACAGAGGGAAGTTGTAGTTGGATGATACCTTGTCATCTCTGGTCACTATAAATGGACCTTAGTACTGATTGTTACGACTAAGAGCTATTAGAAAAATCCTACAAAGAAAGTAACAAACTATTGCAAAAGAACAGTTTGCCAATCAGCGAAACAAGTCTGGGAAAAGATAGGAAATCCAGTTAAGATATAACACAATTAAATCCTCATATATCTTGATGTGTAGAAAGTTTGCTGTTCAGTTCTATTGAAAAGTTCTTAATTACTTATAAGGAGAGGTGCTATTTTACCTTCCAAACCACAAACAAACCTTCAGCCCCTTTGCCTCTTGGAACTCCCTCTGGTATTCTGTCCCTGAACTCAGCTAGAGATCGCAGTCTGAGGGTCCCGGGTTCGAATCCCCGTTCCACCAAACATGCTCGCCCTTTCAGCCGTGGGGGTATTATAATGTGACGGTCAACCCCACTATTCGTTGATAAAAGAGTAGCCCAAGAGTTGGCAGTGGGTGGTGATGACTAGCTGCCTTCCCTTTAGTGTTTCACTGCTAAATTAGGGACGCCTATCGCAGATAGCCCTTGTGTAACTTTGCGCGAAATTCAAACTAAACCAACCAGCTGGAGATGGGTGTATAAACATGTTTTGTGTTGATAAAACTGGAGATGGGTGTATAAACATGTTTTGTGTTGATAAAACAATTTCAGATAACAACATAACCAGACTCTCTCAGTGTAGTCAGAGAAGGAGAGATGTCTCTATCCAACACGGGTATCGAAACCCTTTTTCTAGCATTGTAAGTCCGCAGACGTACCGCTGTGCATTGGGGACAAGTTCAAGAGATGTTCCATATTGTTCTTGATATCGAGAATCTGTTAAATCTTTAAACATTGTGTTAGTATCTGATGAATTGGTGTTTGTTTGTTGTTCTGTTTTTTTTTCTCTAATTTATTTGATATTTATTGAAATTAATCACACTGAGATACATGTTGTATTGTTTATTAACGTTTGTACCTAGTCCTGGCCAAACACAAGTTTACTAATTGTTTACTGGTTGTTTAAAAGTAGTTTTTTTTGTTTATCTTTTTATATTTAATAAATTGTTTCTGTTTGACGATGGTTGTAACGGTGTTTTGTTTAGTTCGTTACAATAGCTGATATATTTTTCTATGTGCTAAAATAGTTTACAAAAAATACCAGTTTCCAGATAACATTCTTTCACACAGTGGTTCTTTTAAAAAATATAGTGAATTTCTGAAGATATTCAATCGTGTTTTCGCTTGATAAATGCACGTCTGGATACAAACCAATACACACAACCTTAATTTATACCAACATATTTCTCGAAAACTGCAGGGATAATTATTTTTAAACGATACGCTCGAAATTTTTATCTAAAAGTTGGTGTTTAATATTTGTTTTTGCTGAAATTATAACATTATACGATTTATAAAAAACATTGGCTAAACCTAACGAAATTATGCTATACAACTAAACGATGTATCAGGAAGCAGGAGGAACTGAAAGAATCTTTCAGATATTTGATATTGTTTCCTCACTTCCGTTTAAAAAGTATTATTGACCATTGCAGCGAGTATTTGATTTTCGTATTGTGTGAGTGAATTATGGCACACGCACTATTCCTCCGTGGTGGTACCATTAGAGTATTTGATTTTGGTATCATTTGAGTGAAGTATAGTACAGACTATTCCTCCATGGTGGTACCACTGGATTATTTGATTTTAGTATCATTTGAGTAAAGTATAGCACACACTATTCCTCCATTGTGGTACCACTGGATATTTTATTTTGGTATCATTTGAGTGAAGTATAGCACACACTATTCCTCCATGGTGGTACCACTGGAGATTTGATTTTGGTATCATTTCAGTGAAGTATAGCACACACTATTCCTCCGTGGTGGTACCACTGGAGTATTTGATTTTAGTATCATTTGAATAAAGTATAGCACACACTATTCCTCCATTGTGGTACCACTGGATATTTGATTTTGGTATCATTTGAGTAAAGTATAGCACACACTATTCCTCCATTGTGGTACCACTGGAGTATTTGATTTTGATCTCATTTGAGTGAAGTATAGCACACACTATTCCTCCGTGGTGGTACCACTGGAGTATTTGATTTTGGTATCATTTGAGTGAATTGTTCCATATAACATTATTTCAAGGTTTATTTTAATTTGTATCCATTATTCCATGAAAAAATAATCATTCCAGCTGTATGTGTGTCTTGTGTCTGGGAAATCAGCACAACACCAGTGTCTAGAGGGTTGAGTACGTTTTATTAAATCGATTCTGAATACGCAAATCAGCATTTCACGTGACATCCACAGCCGATATAAAGTCACAGTGGAACAGAATGTATCAGAATTATGGTTTGACACTCTTTGGCGTTTCGTAGGTAGTGTGATGCTATCGAAAACTGATTGCTTTTGGGAAAGGTATATAAAAGCTATTTCCGATGCAAATTATATTCATACACTTAGATTATAAAGATGTGTCCAGATCGTGGATTGATTTTTTCTAAGATGGGGATACCCATGCACTTAATATATTAGAAGGCAAAGTAATATGGATCGGTTTAGGAAACCAAGACTATTCAGAAAGAGATCTACAACAAGTCGTATCACAGCCGTGGTAAGCAAAGTGAGACGTCTTGTAAAAGGTGAAAATACACGAACACACAGGGCAGCGGCAAAAGCCGTCCACGTGACCCAGGCGGCAGTACGCAACATAATCAACAAAGATCCTCGTTTGGAAGAGTAACACAAGTCACGAGTACACAAGGTTCTTCCACGACATATCCGTTCAATCGTCGCATACTTCAAGCAGCTGGAGAATGAAATGGATATTCATGCTATTCCATACGAGGAGATATACGCAATGTCGCCGGACTCGGTGCCTATGTATTTCTGTACGATCGGGATGGTTGGGTGTTTGAATTTCGCTCAAAGCCACATGAGGGCTATCTGCGTTAGCTATTCCTAATTTAGCAGTGAAAGACTAGTCTTCACCACTCACCGCCAACTCTTTTACCAACGAATAGTGGGATTGATCGTGACTTTATAACGCCCCCACGGCTGAAAGGGTGAGTAAGTTTTGTGGGACGGAATTCGAACCAAGTAAAAAATATATACCCAATTTTTTAAAAAGACATTCACTTGTATCGAGGCTTGGCATGGCCAGGTGGTTAGGGCGCTCGACTCGCTATCTGTGGGTCGCCGGTTCGAATCCCCATCACACCAAACATGCTCGCCCTTTCAGCCAGTGGGGGCGT